ACGAAGTACACTGCTGAGGGGAGCAGCGGGAGGGTCAGGAGAGGTCTGCCACACCATGTGGTCACCTCTGGGGCAGGGATGGAACTCATGCTGAAGTAGCTTTAGCTTCTTGGTGCTGTGCTTTAACTTGCTGCACCAGGGAGGGCCCCTGCTCCTGTTTTAATCCCTTTCCCCACTTCCCCTACTGAATGTCTCTAATTTATAATTGCTTGCTAGTTTTTTCTTTCTTTCTTTCATGATTCCTTATTTGGTTCCTCTATATTTCTACTGTCAGTGAAACCATCTGATGTTTTTATTTTTCTTTCTGACTTATTCCACTGAGCATAATCCCTTCTAGCTCCATCATTGTTGCTGCAAATAGCATGGGTTTATCTTTTTGATTGCCGAGTAATATTCCATTGTGTGTATAGACCATATCTTCTTGATTGAGTTATCTATTTTGTGGCACTTGTGTTGTTTCCATAACTAACCTATTGTAACTAGAGCAGCCATAAACATAAGGGTGCAGGTGTCCTTTTGAATTAATGTTTTTGTGTCCGTTGGGTAGAGTCCTAGGAGTGGAATTGCTGGGTCATATGGAAGCTACATTTTTAGTACTTTGAGGAACCTCCACACAGCTTTGCATAGTGGTTAGGCTAGTTTGTACTCCCACCAGCAATGTAAAAGAGTTCCTTTTTCTCCACATTCTAGCCAGCATTTGTTGTTATTTTTTTTTTTTAATGTGGGACATTCTTACTGGGGTGAGGTAATAGGTGAGGTAATAGGAGTTGGTGAGATAACTGCAGGTGGGCTCTGAATGGAGGGAAGGCAGTGGGGGCATTCCAGGACTGTGATTGTGGTTTTGATTTGTCTTTGAGGGGAGATTTTTTTTCTAAAAGGACAAAGAGGTGATACAGAAATTCTTCCTTTCTTTTGCTATATCTTGGCTGGATTTTCTTTAACTTTTCCTTGGTGAGGTAGTCAGAGGGAGGAAATGTGAATTCTCCCTGCAGAGAATATAGCTGTCACACCAAGTGAGAAGGGGAGCAGTAACCTCATTGATTGGGTGAACTATTGGGTCCTTTTCAATGTAAAGACAATGAACTGGGAACCTTGCCAATGAGGAAGCCAGATGGGGCTAAACAGTGAACAATTGTAGGTATGTCAAACCCTCTTTTAAATAATTATAGTTAGCTTTCATTGGTACAAAAACAGCATATGCTTATTGTCAAAAATCACAGAGAAGCATAAGAAAAATATACAGAACAACCAAGCCCAAAGGCAACCATGGGAAATGTATTGGCCACATTCACTCATTTCGTTTTCCAAAGTAACCTCTTGCCCGAGGAATTTAACCACAGAGCAAGCTGTACATGCATGTGTTTCAAATAGCAAAGCTGAGAGGTAGAAAAGCTCTTGGGCACACAGGCTCTTCCTCTTAGGGAAAAACCTTGGCCTTGCTGCTAATCCTCAAAGAGATTTTAAATGCATTTCCTAAGCCCTGGAATCCTGAGGACAGGCAGCCTTGTCTGCTGCGTTTGGTCTGGGTGGCGGTTTTGGGGCAGTGGCGGGAGGCATCTCGGAGCCCAGTTATAAAGCATTCAGGTCATTTCCTCCCTGGCTGGTCCGGGGGCTGGAATGCTGCTTTCTTGATTTCACACACTTCTGATTTCCTGGCCACAACCTGCTTTTTGAGGGCCAAAAGAACTGAGCAGAATGTGGGGTATGATTTCACAGGCCTTGGGAGCCTGCTGCCTTCAAATGTCCCTGCTGTCCACTGCCTTTAATGGGGTAGAGAGCCCCTCTTTCCATGGGGAAGGAGAGGGACTGAGACATGGTTTTGGGGAGGTTTTGTCTCCCACAGACAGGACTTTGGAGTGGGGGTTGGGGGTGGGGAAGCCTGGTGCCTCAGAGCAGCAGTGGAAGGCCGCAGCAGCGTGATTATGGAGAAGGGCAGAGAACTCTGTCAAGAACTTCGTAGCCTTCATTTTGTTCAAATGCCAACTCGGACCATTAGTTTGGATCTTGGAGATACCTGGCAACAGGTATATTGAGGGTAGGACTGGGTCTCCATTCCCGGCCCACATCAGGGTGAAAAGGAGAAACAGGAGAAACAGGACTTGGGATGTACTTGGAGACCTTGGGTGTTGCTGCTAAGGATCTGAGGGTCACCTAAGGCAGTTTCCTCATGACAGCTGAGGACACTGAGTTTCACAGAAGGACGGGCTACACTGCAGGTCTCACAGTCCTGGAATGCCCCCATTCCCTGCTGCAGGTCTCACAGTCCTGGAATGCCCCCATTCCCTACCCTCCATTCAGATACCACCTGCAGTTATCTCACCAAGTCCTAGAATGTGGATGCTGGTAGGGACTCTCAGGTAACTTCCTCATATTCCAAATATGGAAAGAGATTCAGGAGCTGTGTTCTGCCCAAGGTTCTATAATGTTCAACCCTCTTCCTTCTACTGAGTGCCAAGTTCAAGGTTACTGGGTGAGAGGGTACAGGAGGAGAATGGGGATTTAGAGAGATTATGCATCATCTTGGTAAATACAATTTTTGGAGGCTCTAGAGATGGTCACAAGTCTTGCCCTCACTTCTAGAGGTATTTCCTCCCCTCTTCGGTTAGCCTGTTTCCTGGCTACTCAGCTTAGGATGCAGGATCATTGTGACCTAGTTAGAGCTCCTGAAGTACTAGTTCTGTTAGGTTTCCCAAGAAGCAGAACCCGAAATACCTCACCACTATTGAGTGGGGAGGAGAGAAGAGAAGGAGAACCAAAAAATTGTTCCACGGAACCAGCTAGCAGCGGAGAGCCTTGGAGTGTGTGTGGGGTGAGACAGTGACAGCAGACTCTGAGAAATCCCAAACCAGGAGAAGGAAGCTGGGTCTCCACCGCCTTGTGCTGTCCATGGTGGGAGAGGGCTGCCTCCAAGTTGCCTGTGCACTGGCTGAGTCCGGCGCTGGCCTTGGGTGGCCTTCAGAGCACAGAGGTGAGAGAGCTGAGGGCCACAGGCGGGCAGCACAGGGTCACACGTCCATATGTTTCATCTCAGATCCCATGACTCGCCTATAAAAAAACTTCTGGAAATTTTCAGACAACACAGTTCTGGCCTTTAATAAATATCTGAGTTTTGATTAGATAAGGTATACTGTGTGACTCATTTTCCTGTCAACAATGTCTAAAATGAGCAAACTTCTGACACCAGTGAGGGCCTGACCTTCCAAGTGGCGGGGGTGAGGTCAGCCCCATTACTGACATTTTTGGAAATTGGGTTTCTCTTGCCTGGCATCTCTCTGACATTTATTCGGGGTCGTGCCCCCTCCTCCTTCAGCTTCCCGTCCAACCCTCAGGGCTCACTTGCCTCAGCAGACAGGTGGACAAACACAACAAACCTTGCCTAGCTTTGTGATTCGGGACTGAGAAGAGCACAACTTTCTGTGTTTATTTGTCTGACAAAGACGTGCAGCAGAGCAGGGGAGGCTGCACTTTGGATGGCCTCGGTGCCAGAAACAAGGGGTGCGGGAGGGGGGACTGGGGGAGACTCCAGCAGAGTGCTCCTCATTCACAAGTGGAGCTTCCCACCATGCTGCCCTCTGTGGAGGCAGATGAAACAACATTCTCAGCTCCCCAACTCCATGGGCTCTGAGGGCAGCACCAGCCCTGGGACCAGGGGGGTGTGAGTGTGAGCAGAGGTGATGCCACATTTCTGGATTTTGAGAGCTGGCAGTTTAGAGGGAGTTACCCTCACGGTCTCATTCAATGGCAGAGACACACATCCAGTGAGGGCAAGAGTCCTCCACAAAGCCGATGGCCAGATGGGGCCTCAGACCCAGGTCCCCGTGCTTGGTCCTGAGGTGCTTCAACTTCCAGACCCTTATTCCCTAGATGTGTGTACAACATATCTTCTCTAGAAAGAGATCTGGGGGCTCGCCTCTGTTGGGTGCAGGGAAATAGAGAGAGGGTTGTGTTTCAGAAT